AGATAATATCACGTGATGAACACCAATTTCTAAAATAAACGCTATTACTATAATGTCAGGCTTATTGGGAAGGGAGAGCGTAGATAAGAAGAGATCTGTAAGCATAGGCTAATCCTAGAACAGCTTGACGTCGGGCTTGTAGATGACTTGCTTCGTATGATATTTGTAATTCACTTCTGTAGAAGATAACAAAATATTTAGCAAAAAAATTACATATCGAAAAAATTAGCAAAAAATAATAATATTGATAAGCATCACAAAAATGAAGGAAATTTGCATAGGAATGTCGTAAACAGTGAAAACAACAGACTCCTTGAGTTTTTCCGATAACACTTGAAGAGAACAAGAGACACTTAAGAAAAAGACATTCTTATGACAAGAAATTTTTCTCTGTTAAGTGTTTAGAATTCATGTTCCAAAAAAAAAAGAAGTAAAACGGAAAATCAAATGTACTCTACCTTCTAGCTTCTTATAGTACGTGATTATTTTTTATTATAATTAATAAATAAACAAGTAATTGATTTGAATTATTAATTTGTTTTTTCGAAATCTATTTCGTTATATAATTTCTTCTATACTGGTTAAATATGCCTGAAGAAGTTGGAATGCCATAACAAATCTTATAGGAATATAAACTTATATACTTTCAGATTTCCTTTTAAAAAATATATATAATTACAGTAAATTAGTTTCTTTTTTTGTTATCTCACTCTTTTTGAAATTTAAATTTATTTTATTTTAATTAATAAAATAATAATAATTATGAAAATAATTAACTAAAATAATAATTATGAAAATAATTAACTAAAATAATAATTATGAAAATAATTAACTAAAATAATAATTATGGAGATGATTATTTATGATCTCATTGAACCACTTCCTAATGCTCAGAAAAAATGATTGTCGGTATGAAGCACTTTTCTAATATACTAGATCTAATTTTTGTAATCGAAATTATTTTGCGAGTGGTGTGGTTGGTTATATTGCTACCTACATAATAATAAAATAGGTACCTGAAGGACTAGCGATAGTAGAAGGAAGGAGAGAGGTACTTCGAAGAACGCCATGTTAAATACTACCTTATCAAATTTCACTCTCTACCATTATATAGCAATTGCTAGGCTGTCACTCACCACTCTCGCAAGATTAATAACAGATATTATCGAATTTATTTGGCAAAATTACAATACAGTATTTAATATATGTATGAACGCCGAAAACCTATGTACGATGTCTTGTCCACTTATCAAAGGCGTGTCCACTCCTCCATTGTTTCACTCTTTTCTGTCTCTTTCTTTATCAATTTGCCAAGAGATAAATGCATAGTAATCTGAACTTACTTTAATAAATGAAAGTTAATAAACCTCTTGAGATAAAAATAGTATCTGTAGTAATCATTCGTTACAAGTCATCAGAACTCAGCGACCTTCCTATATTTTTCACAACCTACAATTCAAATATTCCATTCAATCCCGTCTCACTAGATCTCGTACCTCCGACCTTTATCCACCTCCCCACCGAACTGCAGCGTTTGACAAATCCTTTATAATTCATGCCGTCTCCTTCTGGAATACCATCCCTCCCGATATCCGACATGCGCAATCAGTTTCCTCATTTAAATCTCTCCTTTTTAACCACCTACTCCTTTCCCAACCCGATTGATCATGAAATGTAGATAAGAGAACTTTTAAAGTTCCCCCAGAAATGATTTTCTTTACTTATGCTATTTTATTTTCCCACATTTGTATTATACATATTAGAATGTTTTTAGAGTAATAGTTCTATTTTTTGTTTTATTATTTTTTCAAAAACTTAATCCTAATAATAAATGTAAATAATTAATTTTATGTATGGCCACACAGGCATTTAATCTGTATCTGTAATTTGTATTAAAAGGACAACAGTCCCAGGATAATAAAAAAAATATTTTCATTTCATTTCATTTACAATCAACTCAGTCAACGCTAAGTAATTTCTTAGTCCGGTCAGAAACTATTAATAACCTATTAATTAATAGCATATTTTCGAAGAAATTTCTAATTAGCGTGAAATTACTGATTTTAGTCAAAGATATAGTGAAGATACAAATATTTAGTAAATAATTTTCAGTTAGTTCTCACTTGGCTCCTTGCTTTATGTAAAGATTGTTGTGTGTTAAATTCTGTTATAGATTTTTAGATAGCAAGGTATGTTAATATTCTTGTATAATGAGCGTAGTTTTCGATATTTTTATGTCTTTATATGATTCTAATATGTGCTCCGTTGTTAGGGTTTCACCTATTTCCTTGGAAGTGCCGATGTCCAGTGGACTGAAATGCCGAAAATGTTATCGAAATCCTAAATTTCGACTTTACTATACAAAATTTAAAAATCTTTATTGTCAGTTAATTGACGAATATTTATGATATTCCCAATCCAGGATTTAGTTTTTGGGGACTTTAGATCGAAATCTTTATACATGTATATATATAGAATAGAATATAAAATTACTTTATTCTGGGATGAAGTCCCTTAAAAATAACAGAATATTACATAAAAAAAAGAAGAAATAAAATGTGACCTGAAAAGTTGTTACATTATAAAGTAGCTAAATAAAAGGTTTTGAGTAAATAAACTATGTATAAAAAATCAAATCAGTGAGACTATTTACAAAATACTACTATTATATAAAATACAAATAAGAAATAAAAAAAATAATTTAACAAAATAATCGCTGTATAGTTAAAAAGATTAAAGAATATAATAATCAAAAGAAATATGTTTAAAAAGCCAAAAAAAAAAAAGCCGTTTTCTGACTGTTGCGAAAAAAGAAGTTGGAATAGGAAGGTTTTAAAAATGAATGGGGAGGGAACATGTCGAATTTTTAGAGGTAAGAAATTCCAGAATGAAGTAGAGCGGATTACGAAGGAGGTTTGAAAAAATGAAAATCTGTGAAAAGGAGTATGAAGTTCTGATGATCGGCAGAGAGTGGACAGAATTCTTGAATTGAAGAACATAATTTATATAGGAGGGGCGTCAAACGTTGCTAATTTGATAGAGGAATGTGCCTAGGAAATATTGTCAACGGAAGGAAGGGTAGAGCCACCCTAACCCGGCGTAGTGGTGGGAGACACGGGAACGTCACGGGGTAACAATGACAAATTTGACTAAGCTATTCATAAGTCTTCTCAGTCTGTCACCGAGAGCCATTGAGAGACCGCCGTACACCCCGCAGCCCTAGTCAAAGTGGAGAAAAATGAGCGAAGAAATTAGGAGCCTCCGGGTAGGTTCGAGTAGAAGATGGCGGATGCGATGGAATAATTTGAGAGTGGAAATATACCATCGAGCAAAGCGAGAAATGTGATAATTCCTAGAGAGGGTTTGATCATATATATAACGATAATTGCTAGAGAAGAAACAAAAAGAAACTTACTACCTGTATGAAATGATATTTAGTTTATTCTTGAGCAGGGATGTCCAGAAGGGTGTTTCATGGCACATGTTGCACCATAAAAATGTTTGAGGGAGGGCATATTTTGACGGGTTTTTAAATTTTTGAGGGGGGCAATTTTCAACGGGGTAATGAATTTTCGGACTAATGGACAAGGGTACTGACCGCAGCAAGTGTATTTTTGATCAACGATTTGCTGTGTTTTTAAGAAAGGTGAGCGATAAAATATCTTGGGAGGTGAGGGGAGGGGGAGGGGGAATAAGGTTGAAGTGAGGATGGGCACCCCTGTTCTTGAGGTCCTATTAAATGTAATTACACGAATAATAATACTTCTTTAAAGATAGTTTTTGAATGATTTTTTCATAAGACATGGTTATACTTTACCAGTTTAAGAGAGGCTTCTGCCCGAAAGCCCCTCCCCTATCTCGTAGATCCGCCTGTGGTGAAGGTATATCCTAGAAGAAATCCTATAAGTATTTCATTTTGTAGAAATACTAAAGTAGCCATTATTATTGATTGTTTTAAATATGATTATTAATAATATGTTTAGTATTCACTGTTATACTGACTTTTAATTCATATATTATGACCAATCCCTACACACCCAAACATGTGATTCGGTTTTGAACTAGGAAAGACAAAACGCGCAATCTAGCGGCTTTCCTTATAACTGCATTCGATGCTGTCTCAGTCGTAATAATGTGGGTTCTGTTTCTGAACTATGAAACAAAACAAAAAAATATTTCTTTTTCTAGTCGTGTTACTTTTCTTGTTATAAACTGATTAGCTGAATACACTAAACAGATAATATATTTATTTTCAATTAGCAAACTAAAATTGAGTTTTGCATGATTTTCCCATAGAGTGCGCTCAAACAGTCGTCCTTTGTTTAATTTCAAAATGTTCAATAATTAATAAGATAATTAATAGGGCGTTAATTAGATTTGTATTTATGAAAAAGGTATTTTATAATTTAAGTATTACATTTAATCAACAAAAGACAAAAGTTATAATAGATGCGTATAAAGGTTATATGAAATAAAATTGTGCCAATAATGTGGTCTTGGTAACCCATTTCTATTTTAATATATATTAATTTCTGACTATTTTCAAATATATTTAGGTAAATTAATTTAATAGTTTAAGCTATAGGTTTTTAAAACATTTTCAGATTGATTATTTGTTTTGGTCATAATTAGTTTTAATTATCAATTAAATTTTACAATATTTTTTGTCATTTTTTTTTATCACCTAGATGGAACATAAATTTTATGAAATAAAAATAAAATCGATAAAAAATATGCAATAATCAATAAATATACAATAATCTATTATTTAAATTAAATTAACAGTATAGTTAATTTTTTATATGTTGTTCTTTTTACTATTTTCTGGAGAAAAAAAAAGGAAGGTTTTGTGGTAGTTTTATAAGATGCAAGCTATTTCGAATACTATTTTTTCTCGAAAATACTATTCAAGGCGTAGGATTAGATAAGCTAAATGCACATTAAATCTAAATTCAGACAACTTAAATTATGTATTCATCTGAATTTATATTTTGGTAGAAAAAAAATAAAGCTAAAAATAAATACTTTAAACAGTATTTTTCCAGTCAAATTTTATAAATGATTACAAAAATTAAGATGGTTGCAATTTTTTTATATAATGTCTGGGTTGACACAAGGTTGAACAATTTTACTTCTCTCCGCCACAGGAAGAAAAAGAGTTAAAAGTTTTATTTGGTTTTTCTATTTCAAATAAATTATAACTAGCTTTATTTTGTAACAGTTCTAGAATTTTTGGTACAATTTGATTGGAGTATGTCATTGTACTTGGTTCACTCTTTATTGCAAGAGGGAAACAATTGAAATCTTAATTTATCTGAGACATTTGTAGTTTATTCAGGAAAAATACAACACTTTCAAATTTCTAAACACAGGTTGATTTGATATTTCAGGTAAAAAACGCGTATTGTAAAGAACAATTTATTTCTTAAACTCTGTTCAACAAACTTTTGCTACAACTGACGTCACCAGTTGAATTTGTAGATCTGCTCAAAAGCACTTCCAATCTTGCCGGAGAATTCGGGGTTGTAGTTGTAGATGAGATGTTTATCCTCCTCCTCAGGTGTTGGGAAGTGGTTGTCGTTCAACCGGGCCTCGGCGACCAACCAGTCGTAGAAGTGGCGGGCAGCCTCTATCGCCTTCTTGAATGAGGGATTCGTCTGCAATAAATACTTTTATCATTGTTTTGATAGGCAAATACATTGATTGGGAGTGACGTAGAAAAATAAATAAGTATTGGAATAGGCAAATAAGTACGTATTCATTTTTTATTGGCGAAAAAAAAATACATTTTGCCTCAATTCAGGGCATTGAGCATTTGGGATGTATGAAACAATCATACCATATATACAATAAAAAAAAAACAACAGAAAATTATAACAAAATAAAATAAAATAAAATTCTAATAACAGAATGAATCAAACATGAGACAACATGAAATATAAAAAATAAAAAATAAAAACACATTCATACTTAAAGTATGTAATTAGGAGTGTAAATATGAATCCAGTTGTTAATGTAGTTATCATTAAACTGCATTATGATCGCTATTTTGTTTCTTCAACTGCAATAATTTTCAACTCGTAGCAATACAAGTTTCACATAACAATATCGTTATAATGTTGTGCACACAAACTACGATTTGCAGACAGCATTAATTGTCTGTTATCACGTAAATAAAACTACTGCAGATTCGTATTAACTGCTTGTCAAAGGCATGCTCTTGGTAAATCACACTGCTTTGGCTTTGAGTGGCTTAAAAATTGGTATTTTTTTATTTATTTTTTTATTCATTGGCATTTACAACTGCATTATAAAAAAATACAACTTGTATATGTGCACACAGTAATAATACAATCACATAAAAACGCTTCTTGAGAAACTACCCATTGGTAGCACTCTAATAATATATTTACATAAGTAGATCACGAGGCCATCTTCTTTTCAGACGCCTCGAAGGGTTATCAGGGATCAAGGAGGAAGCAAGGTTTGAAACGAGAGGGTTCGGGTGGTTCTGGAGTTTGTTATGGAAGGATAGGTATCTGGATTGGGCCGAACCGGAAACATATGGAACATTAAGGTCTTTATGGATGATTTTATTTGTGACAAAGTAAGGAGCGTTGAGGATTTTGGATTGTAAGGATACGAGAGGAATTCGATAGTTTAGTGGAGCCCTAAAGATCATTACCGTAAGTCCAAATAAGTCTTATTATTGTCATATATATGAGTCGTTTGTAATTGATTGAAAGCTAAGAGCGTTTGTCTAGTAAGTGTTGGAGTAGTCGGAAACGTCGAGCAGTTTCTTGTCATTACAGTTTTGTATGAGGATTCCATGAGAGTCGTTTGTCCAGGTGGAGTCCTAGGTAACGGATTTGTTCAACTGGGATAAGTGGGGATTTATTAAAGGATATTGTAGGACAGGAGGTCATGGGTTTGCGACGCAGGCTAAAGGCAATTTGATGGGATTTATTGGAATTTATTTTAATTCTTCAGTTTTTACACCACTCTTCAAGGTTTGTGATATGTGATTGGAGAGTTTGGGATGCAGTTGATGGATCATTATTAACAGATAGGATACATGTGTCATCAGCATATGTGATGATGACTGTCAGGATGAGTTGGAATGTAAGCTGCATAGACTGTGTAAAGGATAGGACCAAGGATACTACCTTGAGGAATTGGTAATTTTGAATTAAGAAATGAAAAATGTAGAAGAAGTTGTTTGATGAGAATATCGCTTAGAACCAATATCAACACGCGGATCAAATGAATGTAAAACGAGAAGGTGTCTCTATTCGTATGGAACCCATGGGAAAGATCCAGAAGATGGTAAAATGGTAAGATGGGGTAAAATGAATCAAATGAAAGACAGTAAAAGAAAACCTGCTCACCAGATTAAAAAAAAAGTCATTTCTCCATCGAATTATGACAGGTGATGGAAAGTGAGCGTGTGCACAGATTTGAGGAGATTTAAAAAGTACGAGTTCGCGTCCCGGTGCCGGAGGGGATTTTAAAATCCCGTATAGCCTCAAAGGCGAGGTAGGGAAGAACAAAAAAAAAAAAGGTGATGGAAAGTGGATATATTTTGATAATCATAAGTGTCAAAGATGGGAATCCCAAGAGAACCATCGATATCGGTCAATACAGAAAGAAGGGATTTATTATGAGCTGCTAAACCCTGAGGAAACGTTTAATACTGAACAGTATCGACAATTGATCGAGTGGTGTGTGAAAAACGACCTTAATATCAAAATAAATAGCATAAAGAGATTTTTCATCACCACTATGTGTCATCGAGCCTAGAAAAAATAGTGAAGAAAACGGTCGAGGCGATCAGCTGAGAAATGTTGCATGCTACATATTCACCAGACGACTCCATTCGACTACTATTTCTTTGTATCGATGGAACATGCACTTACTCAACTCCGCTTCACTTCTTATGAAAATGTACGAAAATGGTTTGATGACTGGTTCTTCATAAAAAAGCAACAGTTCTCTGGCATGGGAATCATAAATTGCTACAGAGATGGAACAAATCATAACTAGCGTTGAACAATGTTTTAATTTGGATATTTTCATGCAATAAATGTGTATTTTTTTATCTAAAAATTTCGGTTTCAAATTTACACACCAGGTTAATAGATAGGTAAATAAATAAGAACATACATAGATACCGATCTATTTATTGATATCAATAGATACGAAGATGAACCAAAAATAAATATTTTGCTATTACTATACAATGGGTTGGAAGGATGCTGGGTTTATGAGGAGCGTGGTTCAAGTCTGTTTTTAGTGCAGCCGTGTGCAATTTGATTGAACAGTTCAAACGAGAGGTATTATGGTGATATCTCTGGTATGGTGATGTTTCTGGTGCTCATCGCTAATCGCTATGTTTTTAACTGATGAAAACATTAAACTCTCAGAAATTATTAGTCGTTTGAAGGTAGAAAAGAAAACCCCGTCTAAAACAGTTCTACGATCGAGCCCAATGTGGTCCAGAGACTTGAAGGTTGGACGAGAAAGTCAAAACAACGAAAAGTGTCGTTCTGGAGTTTATTAAAAGTTTTCGCTTTTCGTTGTAGAAGAAATCCCGACAGCATTGGGAAGCAGGTATGAGAGTGATAATATTGGTATCGAACCACTAAGGCACCAACCCGTACTATCTCTGAAAAGTTCTTGAAAATCGTTTTAAAATTTTTTTTCCGATCCTCCATTTTGTTTTTCAACAATTACATGCATGAGTACATACAATATAGTATACATAATTATCTTTGTCAAGCTTTGCCCGTGTTGGCATTTTAAGGATAGGGGATGGGAACTTGTTTCAAAATTGTGGAACGAGGCCGTAAATTATATATGTATATATATATATATAATTTTTTTTTCCTACCCCCCAGGAATTTCTTGATTACAAAATACAATATATATACATAAATTTTCAATTTCCTTTTATTGACCAAGGGCATTTTAAGGTAAGAGGGCTCTGCACGCTGTATGCGTTCTTTGCATCTGTGGCAAAAGATTCAATACTGTATTGTGTCCTTCACACCTATTCTGACAATTATGCGTAAATTATATTATATTTCATTCCTATCTATACATTACCTTACGCCACTCGTAAGCGCATTTCTCGGGATGGAATTGGACACCGGCGAAATTTCCATTTTCCATGCTGGACACAAACTCCAATCCATCGGCATCTTTATTTACTGACAGTATTGTCCATGGCTCCCTCAATTTAGTGGCCGGTCTGACGCACCACCTGTTCAAAGAATGTTAAAATGTTAAACCAGAATGTTCTTCAAGTAGTAATAGTCCAGCAGTGTATAATAATTGAGAATGTTGTTATATAAAAAAATTAAATCAATATAAAATATAATTTGAAAACAAATTCCGTGGGCACTACAAACTCAATTTTCAAGAGCTAATATGAGGCCTTAATAAAATATATATATAATTGAATCTATGATGTAAAATAAAAAGATTTGAAAAGTTTTCTCTATATTCTTATTTTTTAAATACTCAATGCCATTCGTCTGGGTTGAGGAACAGTAATTCAACAAACCAGCTTTCGTAGTGTCATTAAATTTGCAGAAAATCCTAAGAAGTTAAGAATGCTAACATGTTAATATCCGTGAAAAAAAACCTCACAGAAAATCACGTTCTAAACTATTTATTTTTTATTTTCTATAAAAATCCTTTTTTAAGAGATTTTAAGGACACTAGAAACGAATCTATCTTCCTTTTTCATAACAAAAATTTAATTGTTCAACTTTCTTGGCAGCGTCTAATGGTTTTTGTTATTTTTTAATTTATGGAACACTGCAACTCATTTTATATTCCGTGGCAAACTTTGTCTATTTAATTAAGTACTAAAAACTGGTAAATACCCATTTGCTTTCTACTTGGATTGTAAGATAATTTAATCGCAAAATCGAGAAAAAAGGTGGCCTTCACAAATATTGAACCGTTTGGCGTTGATCTACACTCCAAAATATTCAAAATAACGAAGTTATATAGGTCAAACGGCTCAATATTTTTGAAGGGTACTTTTATTCTCGAATTTGTGATCAAATCATCTTACGATCCAAGTAGAAAGCAAATGGGTTTACGAGTTTTTATTACTTAATTAAATAGAAAAAGTTGAAAACGCCCCAATTCCAAGAATTTTTTGGTAAATAAAATAGTTGCAGGTTCCGATGAGATGAAACTACTTACGAAATTTCAGGCGGATGTTAATAATTCGATAAAAAGGGGTCTGTACCACGGACTATTATATTAGAGGAAATTTTAATCATGCTCTGGACAAAAAAAGATTGGTTTATTTCAACTTAAAAATCTTTGCAAATAAAAACAAACATAAAATCTGTTTGAAATTGGATAAACAATTGTTTCACAACTCTCATTGGAACGGATGCTGGGACGTGGGTCCAATATTTTCCGATGTAATATCACCACAATAAATTTGGTTGAAATCGGTGACGCATTGATTGTGACCACACCTAGTGAGTTACGGAGTCCTGGTTATTACTATAAATATTTCACAAGTACTTTAATTGTTATTGAAATGAGTAATTAAAAGTATATGAGTAAAGTATCTTATTTTCAGATACAAATTTAGCATTCCATTGTATCCAATACAAAATAAACATTTTTAAATGGAGTTGAAAGCTTACAAGTGGTAATTTGGAGTGACGTTCATAGTTGCAAGTGTTGTGATGATGTCTTCAGATGCGTCGCCGTAGAGTTTGCTATTCCTGAAGCCAGGCTTGAACTCGAGCGGCAGCATCACGTGGTCCATGCCATTGCACCGGGTCAGTGTCTCCGACACCATGTTGTTGGATATCAAGGCCAGAGCTTCGAACCCTTGGCACACACCCAGGATGGGGAACTTGATCCCTCCCCTTTCCATCTATCAGTGGAAAACAGTCGTAAGTTAACATTAAAATAATATACTAACAGTAATTTCACTCTTGGGTGATTTAGTCATACCACCAGATCATCCAACAGTCGGAAAAAAGAAAACGGTGACTAAACTGAATTTATGCTATATAAATAACAGCTTTGGCGAGTCTAAATAAGTGACCCATAGGAAAATGTACATACATAGTACCAGAGAGGCAGGTGGTATTAAAACCTTTAAATTCTTACATAACGTCAGGGCTAGTCTGAAATTTTTAAATATCCTAATGTATCTAGCCAGGGGCAACTAAATTACTTATAATGGACAGGAAGGAATGAAATAGCTGATAAGCTGGCTAGAAAGCCATGAACAGGCACTGAGGCATATTGCAGTATATTAGTCTGACTAGGAAAGACATTTACACCTGATAATTCAAGAAAAACGAATCATCCTGGGTATCAAAACCTGACATTCAACATTCCAAACTATTCATTAATATGTCAAACGAAAAGGCAAAGTTTGTCTAAACCTGACCAAAAATGAGTTGAAGACATTCAAGTGTCTATTAACAGAGCCTGTCCGTTCAAATATCATCTATTGAAACTAAACGCAACCTTTGTAAATCGATGTGTTTTGTAAGAAGCATGAGGTTTTTTGTGATGATTAAGCGAAAAAGGTTATCTTAAACAGATCTAACTGAATCGCGGCGAGGAAGGCCTTTCCTATCACTCAATAATAATAGTATTGAAGGATGACCAAGAGCAGACTGCGTCACTAGACTGAATTAATTTTAACTTGATTCCAAAACAGAGGTTTTCTGTCATGCAAGTATGCATCTAGCATCCTATAAAAATAAGTTTTGAGAAATGGGGAGTAGTCCAGATATTTCTCTTCATAGACAACCGCTCTTCAGGTAGATCATGTTTTCGAATACGTTTCATTGAATCTCCGTTGTCTAAATATCTAATAACTAAAATTTCATAATTCTAAGGACCTTTCAATTTATTAAACAATTTAATCTTATTCGATTATATCGTAAAAGGTATATAGCGAATACCATAGCAGATACCTAAAAAAATCAAAGATTGAAACAAAGTTTTATCACTGGAAACGATAACACATATTACGGGTTGTACTCGAATGAAAGAGTTGGGGCACCCATAAAAAAGTGAAAGGAGTTGAGCACCTCACTCTAACGGCTTAAACTATCCAACTAAGAGCTAAAGCAAAGCTCTTCTTTGATGGATTTAATAGCAATCAAATGGAACTTTGTACATTCTTACTGCCCTGTTATATTTTTATAAGTGCCATTATTTCGAAAATAATGGCATTTCGTAAAATAAAAACGTATTTTAACAAAATGGAAGCTTATCAAATTAGTTATTAAGGTGATTACTTAAGTGTTATTATTAATCATCACTTTCTAAATTCGTTGAACTTTTTTTATTTTGCTAATGATTGATAATGTGCAATAAATAATCCTTTAGAAAAGAATTTTACTCGCATTCTGTATCCAGAGATAAGTAATAGATTTGGTAAAAAATTACCTCTTTGGCAAGAGAATATATCCTCGCAGCAGTCTCAAAGTAGCCTCCTTCAGTGTGAAATGGTGCAGCACCGCCAGGAAGCACGACGCCATTTATCTTGTTCAGCAGATCCCTTAAGATCAGTAAAAATATTTTAATGTGAATATTTTAAAATGTTAAACAATATGCCATCATTGAAAGTCACTCACCTGTAATCCGAGATCGATCCCTTGAGGAATATAGGGACAACCCTGGCGCCTGAGCTCTCCACGGCCTTCACGTAGGATGAAGCTATGTAGGATGTGTTAGCGGAAAGCCCTTCTTGGGCCAAGATTCCAATAATGGGCCTTTCTGTGCATCTCGCCACCTGGGCACAACAAACCATCAGTTATATATCTAAAAGGCATCATTGGATGATCCGTTCCAGGATGGAAAATAGGATGTTTTGTGTGACGTGGGACGGTATATCCAACTGGTACGGACTTGTGCCCTCGGTGGGAGATAAATAATATTCGTATTGCCATACTGGTCGCTCTCCTATACTTGAAGTTATAGAGGGCGGGGTGGCCGAATAGGCTAAAGCGTGTGCACAGCACCGCTAGTTGCCGGGCAACCGGATAACAGAGATTTGAGATGATATAAAAAGTACGAGTTCGCGTCCCGGTGCCGGAGGGGATTTTAAATTCCCCGCCCTCACCCCCCGGCCCGGGAAAATCCCGTATAGCCTAAAAGGCGAGGTAGGGAAGAACAAAAAAAAAAAAAAAAAACTTGAAGTTATAAACTTGGCGATCCTAAAGACTAGTATTCCCAAGGTTTTTCAAAAATTGCTTTGATAGGTGATGATTTGCCGATCTGAAACTCCTCAACAAGGGAGGAGACAGAGATAAGCGGCTTTAATAAGATTTATGGAACCTCATCGTGATAAACCTAACAGCATATCTTATAAGAACAAGTGACTCATGGTCATATGACTGCAGGAAAGCTAGAGTGACCGCCAACATTGAACGAGACGCTGTTCTGTTGGTCGACGTACTCTATCAGCTTCACTAGGGAGGGAATGTCCTCAAAGATAAAGTAGGTTCAGTACTTGGTCCAGCCATAGTGAAGCTAGTTCCGGATGAGTTGTTGGGTGTATTACAGGAATTGTGTTTCTCTGCAGTAGCTACATTGATAATTTGGTCGCAGTAGTGTTTCCGAACAGAACGGTACGGGGGAAAATATTTCACCCAGCGATTCAGGGTATTTTCATAAGAGGATAAACATATATGGTCCATCATATAAAATTATCTTAGTGTAAGATATGGAAAAGAATTCAACTTTGATCTTCGCGTAATTCAACTTGGAGCGCACTGTAAAACAGATATCCCATGTTTTCGAAGGGAACTATATACCGTTTTGATTAATAATATAAGTGTGAATGTTATACTACCTCACTATAACTAATGTCCAAGTGACAGATTGTTTATTATTATAATACTGAATAAATAAATTTTAAAAAAATAATATATAAGTACGGTTTGGTATGCTAATTATATTTCTGCTTAAAAAATTAGCAATTTAATTGATTTAATTTATAAAAATACTAATTATAATTAATATTACATATATAAACCTGTACAACTACCACCCATGAAATTCAGTAAGGAAGCACTATTTCTTGGTCAACGGTTGTGCAAGGAGGTGGTTTGATCGAGATCACATTCAACCGATAAGTTTTTCATCTTTATTAATTAAGATTATCCACTTTATAGAGGCTAGTTGTGACCCAGGGTGTCTCCAGACCCCAGGATCGATCAACGGCTGATGAAACAGAATAAATAATAACCTTCCATTAGTCGGATTAGAACCTAGGACCTTGAGCTTTGGAAGTCAGTGCCCTGCCCAGCGATCTACTCTGCTCCCGATATATATATATATATATATATATATATATATATATATATATATATATATATATATATGTGTGTGTGTGTGTGTGTGTGTGTGTTTATATATATGTATATGTCTGTGGCACCTATGAAAAGTGTGTTAATTTTTATTCGAAAATGGTACATGCACATAAGAAAATTCCAAACTTTTAATTGCATATTTCCATAAATATTATTTTTCCACTCGCTACATTATGCACATTCGCCACAGATATATATATATATATATATATATATATATATATATATATATGTAGAGAGAGATTTATTATATATAGCATTGCAAATATTTCTTCGTTGTCTAAGATATTTGAAATAATATCTACATCCCGGAAAGAAATACATTCAAAGGAATCATGTACGTATCGTAAATTATTATCTTTCTTAGTTTTTCTTCCACATTTATTTGCAAGATATCATAGCTCTTTCAACGGAAGGCCGAGCGTTTAAATTTTCTAACTTCAAATTAGGAAATTTCAAAATAAATTAGTAACAAATATAAACAACAATGTTTTAAGAAAAATATTAAAAGGCAAGTTGGTTACTTCCCCAAAACTTTATATCAATATTCAATAAGAAAATATCCATCTATATCCCATACGATTTTGAGTAGGCTACATTCTTTATTAAGGCGAATATATGTAGGAATACGGAAACATTTCCATGGTGAGTGTGGACTTGAAAAATTATTATATGAAAGAGCTCAAGGAAATAAATTATAAAACTCATACAAAAGTTGTGTTGAACATGATATGTTCTGTTTTTAGAGATATTAGAGAGGATTAAACTTTATTCTATGTGGACTACATGCTACTTTAAAACCTGGATATTGTTATCAATATCTCATGAAATAATCTGATTGATAACGCAAGAGTTATAAAGAACTTACTAACGAAATATTTCCTTATATAGGTAATGTATTGTTTTATTTTATGCCTTGTGACTTATAGAGGTAATTCTTTGATCTAACCACATATAAGGCATTAAAGTGATGGAAAAAAAACTAAATGGTATAAGTAGATTCTTTAAAAGTAAGATAGGAAGACCAATGATACGAATTTGACTAGCGGTACTAAGTGAACCCACAAACATTTTTTTTATAAGTCTATCTTGTTAAAGACAAAACTAAAGAAAGAAATGTCGAATAAGAGATAGAGTATATAAATAAACAATGATATTTATTTTAGGTATAAAGAATGAAAAAATTTCTCTTCCGTATACATCAATTTATTCATCCGTCCAACGTTTCGGACTCCTTGTCTATCTTCAGAGACATTTCTTTTTACTGTTAGAACATCATACACATTATTAATATTCGTTAGAATTTTTTCCTATATTTACACATATTTGTTTAAAATGTATTTACAGTTCATTTTTTTAAATTTACCTTCCTAATGTTTTTCCTTTACCTGATGTTCTTCTAATACATGTTATTAACATTTGTCTTTTTTTTTTCTATATTCTATTAAACAATTTTATACATCACTTGGTCAATTTTCATCATCACAATGCTGGTTATTTAAGTGTACATTATTCTAATCCTCTCTTTTTATCTATCCCTCTCCATTATATGAGTTTGTTTAGTTCAGCTCCTGACTGTTGTTTTTATATATTTTTTAATGATGTAGAGATGGTTGACCGTTGATATAATATGAGAAGGAGAAGAGTCGGGGATGCGGTCAGATAAATACTAAATTAAAATATATTTTAATTTTGCCGACGTTTCGACCCACTTTGCAGGTCGTCTTCAGGGCTACAAAAGATACTAAGCATTTTGAGAATAAAAATTAAATATAATTAGATACAAAATAAGAAGATGTTGTCAGATACAGAAATAAAAGATGATACCAGAGATATAGTGGGTGACAATGTAGTAAAATATTAAGTATTATATATATCTAGAAGATACAAATAAATGGAAAATAAGTATGAATAAAAATAAAGGAGAATATGGCATGTAAGTTAAAAGTAAACAGATTGCGATAAAAGATAAGGAATAAGTGTATAAAAAACTAATAGAGATTACATGAGATACTGTGAGTTTAACAGATAAATAAATAGATTGAAAATTGAACATTACTTATTCAAACATTACTTATTATTATTAACTATCAAACATTACTTAACATTACTTATTCAATTTTCAATCTATTTATTAGTTAACATTCATTTTATTGTTAAACCCACAGTTATCTCATGTAATCTCTATTAGTTTGTTATACACTTATTCCTTATCTTTTATCGCAATCTGTTTACTTTTAACTTACATGCTATATTCTCCTTTATTTTTATTTTTATTCATACTTATTTTCCATTTATTTGTATCTTCTACATATATAGCATTTCCAAGTCAATTTCAACCTTTTCCAAGTCAAATTCAACCTTTTCCAAGTCAAATTAAACTTTTTCCAAGTCAAATTAAACTTTTTCCAAGTCAAATTCAACCTTTTCCATTTCAAATTAAACCTTTTCCATTTCAAATTCAACCTTTTTTTATTTATTTAATTATCTTTAATTTTTCGATGTGTGGGTCTGTTATCGTATGAGTAGTTTTTGAAAATAACCTCCTTTTTAAGATTACGTGACTGAGTTTCGAATTATTTAAGTTTTTTTGAATTATTCGATATAAGGGTGTATTTTTATGTTTCCCGATCAGTAAATTTTGAAAATGACATCCATTTATGTTTACGCCACTGTGTTTTGACTTATTTAAGTTTTTCGAATTTAGCCAATTTAAAGGTCTACTTTTATGTTTCTGGAGCCGTAGATTTTGAAAACGACCTCCATTTTAAGATTAGGCCACCGCGTTTCGACTTATTTGAGTTTTTCGGATATTTTTCATATGAGGGTTTATTTTTATGTTTCCGAAGCTGTAGATTTTGAAAATGACCTCCATTTTAAGATTAGGCCACCGCGTTTCGACTTATTTGAGCTTTTTGGATATTTTTCATATGAGGGTGTAATTTTATGTTTCCGGAGCTGTAAATTTTGAAAATGACCTCTATTTTAAGATTAGGCCACCGCGTTTCGACTTATTTGAGTTTTTCGGATATTTTTCATATGAGGGTGTATTTTTATGTTTCCGGAGCTGTAGATTTTGAAAATGACCTCCATTTCATGATTACGCCATTGAATTTTGACTTATTTAAGTTTTTCGAATTTAGCCAATTTAAAGGTCTACTTTTATGTTTTCGGAACCGTAGATTCTGAAAATGACCTCTATTTTATGATTACGCCACTGCGTTTCAACTTATTTAAGTTTTTAGAATTTAACAAGTATAAAGGTCTAATTTTATGTTTCTGGAGCAGCAGATTTCCCCCATTTTGTAAATGACCCAATTTCAAGTTTATGCCACTGTGTTTTGGATTATAGAAGTTTTTTCTTTTTTACTTTTTCGGTATAAGAATCTACTTATATGTTATCCAAGACGCATTGAAA